ATGCTGTTTGTCTTCACAGGACTGACAATAAAGAGATGTGCGTTCTGGTTGTCAGTGACAGGGGCAACCAGAGGAGGAAGGAGGCAAAGAAAAGGCCCTTGGCGGCCTCGCAGGGAATGGGACTATCAACAGGATATTCTCTAATGCTGCAGATGCCAGGCTCGTCACCCCCACACCCCTGGCTGCCACGGAACCCAGGAAGCGGATCCCCACTGTCTCTGCTCCTGTAGCGTTGGCAGGAGCTCCAGGAGGGGGTGGGCTGCAGGCCACCATGCCCCGGAAGGGGCTGTCCTCCGCTGGTGTCCATTCCAGGGAGCTGCCGCCGTGCTGACTCGGCCTCTCTCTGCTTCTATTCACCCAGCTGCTGCTGATGGACACATTCGTGCCCGGTCTCCTCTGCCCTCCAGCTCACGGCCCCTGCTCACTGCCTTCCTTTGGCAGGTGCTCTGTGGCTGCCACTCATCCCTTTCCTGTGTCCTGCACCCAGAGAGAGCATCTGGCCGCATGAGAACCCAGGCCCTCTGGAGGCCACTGGTGGGCAGAGCTCCCAGGCCACACCTGTCTGCCAGCCCGTCCCCCTCCTTGGACCCCTCAGTCCATCCAGGGCCTGGGGAGCATGGAAGGATGAAGCTTTGGAGGCGGGCAGTGTCCCTGGCAGACACCTGCACAGTGTCCAGGACAGTGGGGCGGGGAGAGGTGGGAATAGGACGCAGTATTCAGATCCTGGGCCTCAAGTAAGACAGGCTGATTTTAATGTACACTAAAAACCAAGAGAACACCGGGAAAACCCAGTATATTTATAATGACTTTTATTCTGTAGGACTAAGGTTTTTGAAGCATTTTCACATCATTTGATCTCAGCAGCACCCCCGGAACAGGCAGCAGTGGCAGACAGGTGTGCAGTGCTGTGACATGCCTGTGCTGAGACGGTCACTGTGGGCTGGGTGGCCTTGATCAGGGCCCAAGACACACTGCCCACAGCTGTTACTTGGCATGTGACTGAAGCCACAGGCAGCGTGCGGCCCCCTCCGTTGGTCACCAGCCACACCTCCCAAAGCCGCACACAACGCAGACCTGCATGCTTCACGTTGAACAGAAATATTGCTCAGCCCCGCTCAAGCCTTCAGATGACGTCGCCCTGGGCAACAAGATGCAGCTGCATGAGAACCCGGACCCAGAACTGCCCAGTCCAGTGGCTCCTGAACGTGGCCCCCAGCAACCCAGAGAAGCGACTTCTGTCTTCGACAACTAAGTGGTGGGGTGACAACACGCAGCAAGACTGATACGGTTCCTACACTGCTTATCAAGCGCAAAGGGAACAGTGTTCGCTGCACAGTGGAGCACCCTAGCAGACACTGCCCTAACCAGTAACCAGCCACTGTTACAGGATGGCAGAAATCCACATTGCATCTCCCGATGGGACACACGGAGAACGTAACCAAAACATAACCTGGATTATCAGGCAACAGCACGAAAACCCAAATTACGGGACTCTGCCCCAGTGTTCTATCAGTGTTAATTTCCTAATTTTGGAAATTAGACTGTGGCTAGAGAAGTGCGTGTTCTTGTTCTTAGGAAACGAACACAGAGCAGTTTAGGGCGAAGGGATCTGAGGATGCAACTTTCTCTCTGGTTCAGAAAAACACCCTGGACCTGGCTGCCCACCTACCCACCAACCACCAGAGAGAAACAACAAATAAGCCCGATCCTGGCCTCAGGCAGGGGTGGTGCTGGCGTCTTCCAGGGCACACGGAGTCCAAGTTCTTACAGTGCCCTGCAAGGGATGCTGGCGGTTAGCAGCCTGGAACCTTGAGAGCTCGGTGACTCTGACACCCCCCGAGCCCAGGCCCGGAATGCCGGCTCTGATCACAGTTCAGGACGGGACCTCTCCTCCACGCTCTCTGGCTCCTGCTGACCCAGGTGCAGCGCACAGGGAGCCGAGGCTGCCCCCCGACCAAGGAAACAATATAAACCACACCAGTTTCACAGGAAGGCCTAATTAATTTTTTACAAAAGAGGCAAAGGTGATTTGAATTAGTCAGCTTAATTATTTTTGTGAAGAAACATCAGAATATTTTAGACCTTTGAGGAATGAGTTCTGCATTGTGAATGCTCTATAAAAATTCCTTATTTTTAAATAAACTAAAGTTGCAAGAATATACTTCATCTGTATAAACTTCATCCAGATTCACCAATGGTTAACATTTTGCCTCATTTGCATTATCTCCGTCTATGGGCAAAGAGGGAGGGAGGGAAGTGGGGGAGAGACAGAGACACACACAATTTTTTTTTTTTTGGTGAGGAAGAGTGGCCCTGAGCTAACGTCTGTGCCCATCCTCATCCATTTTGTATGTGGGATGCTGCCACAGCATGGCTTGATGAGCGGTACACCCCTGGGATCTGAACCTGTGAACCCCGGGCCAACAAAGCGGAGCGGGTGAACCCAACCACTATGCCACCAGGCCGGCCCCAACACAGGCACTACTTTTTAGGCGTAGCCTAAACCACGTGCTAAGCAGACTTCCTAAAAATGGAAAGATAAGTGTAAACCTTAGCACACCAGCAGACCCCTTCTTTCAAAATAAACCTTCACTGGCACTCTAAATATAAAAAATACATTTTATTTACACATTTTAATACATTAAAAAGTTTGTTCCTTATGCCTCTATTTTAAAGATGAAATCCCCCAAAAGACAGTTTCTTTTCAGAAATTTTGTACATTTGCCGTTTTCAACTTGCATCACAAGAAGCCCCAAAATTCACATACACGCCAAGCACTGAGCATCTTGCAATGTTGTTCCAACATAGATTATGACTATAATAAACTGTAAAAACCTGTCTACAGACACGAGTCACTTAATGACCAGGATACGCTGAGAAATGCGTTGTTAGGCCATTTCGTCACTGTGCGAACATTCAAGTGTGTACTTACACAGCCGACTACACACCCAGGCTGCGGTGCTAATCTTAAGGGAGCTCCACTGTACATGTGGTCCATTGTTGACCGAAACGTCGTTATGTGGTGCGTGACTGCACTTAAAAGCAATTCTGAACTCAAGTAGCTTTTGGTCAAGATGTATTTACACATCTGAAAGTATAATTCTTATCATGTGATAACCCATGATATCTTGTTGTTAAAAAGGGGTTTTACACTTAAAAAGGACAGATTTATGGATAACTTTCCATATAACAAATGCAAAACTCAGGCAATGAATTGTCACAAATATATCCCATGGCAGAGAGAAAGACATTTTATTTTAATAATAAAGGACAATATAAAAATGGGATCCAGTTTACAGAAGTTTATCTTCTGCAGAAGTCAGCCTGAGCTCATCTATACCTCAGCAAGGTTTAGTGACCACGCTACGTATGAAGTTAGATGGCAGCACTGCAGTGACATTTTTCCAGAATTAACTCTGACTCAGTTACCTCAGTGCTACTCAGGTGTGGTCCATGCACTGGCCGCCAGTCTGTGAACACTCGGAGACGGGAGCTGGCACCAGAACTAAGTCCACTGTCACTAAACACACTGTTCGGTGCAACTGACACTCCCTTCTGCAGAGCAGGACTCTCTGGACGACGGCAGCGTGCGCCGGCTCGCGCTAGCCCGGCTCCTCGTCCTCGTGGGCAGGCACCTTGAGCCGCACTGATCTCTCACACCCCATCACCACCCAGCAGACGGTTTTGACCGAAAGCCCCTCTCACACAGTGCGCTCCTAACACCTGCAGCCTTCCCTCTCTGTCTTCTGAGTTCAGAGATGGCTGAAGACATAGGGCTGTGGCTGCATGTGGCCTGAGGTGGTTCCCGAACGGAGGGCTAACCAGCACGAGCCCAGTCTCTAGTCGTTCTGCAGTTACTCTTAGCAGAAGACCTTCTCACGTTCCTTGCACACTTCAACACTTAAACCATTAGTTCAGGGACACACACAGAGACATTTATGACTTCACACGATGATTTCTAAACACATACTGCCGTAGGGTCACGTTAGATGCTATTTGAAAGTACGTGACAAACGGGGAGTCTGAAGAGGAGTGACCTCACTCCGGTCATGCAGCTTTGCAAGGCAGCCACTCTGAAGGACAGCATGCTGTAGGGTACGCGAGTGTACGCAGTATATAAAATACTATCCTATACTCACAGCTTGGTGACGTTTTTCAACAATTAAAGGTGACAGTTAAACCAAGTTTGCAGCATTTAAGAGAGAGAAGCAAATTCTGAGGGCTGGAAAAACAACAGACATTTGTGAATCTGTGGCAGATGGCAGTATGCCAGGACGTTTTCACCTCTTCTCAGAAGCAGAGTGTACCGGACGTAGGACTCAGGGTGTCCCTCTCACCAGATGTTAACTCCTCACTGGCAGCGCTTCTGCTTCCTGTGTGTTCACACCTCCCAGAACCCAGCACAGCTAGCAGCACTCAGGAAGCGTCCACTGTCTATTAGTTTAGGATTGTGCGTTACAACTGGAGTTGATGAGTGTAAGCGACAGACACAAACAGAGAAGAACGTCTTTCACCGTGTCAGAATTTTGGAGGAGTAATGAAGAAAAACTCCCATATATACTATATTGTACCAGTATTTGCAAGGCTTAAGTTGATTATTGACTTTTACAAAACACTTGCATTCCAAATACTTGAAATAATCAACTAAATATCAGGTGCCACATTAAACTGATGGTTTTTGAACTTTTAACCAATATAGAAAAAAGATAAAAATGCATCAATTTCTTTATGAGAACTGCACCCTCTAGTGGCTTATTTGGTCTATTAAAAAAATAAGACACTCACATGTGTGCGTGCACACACTTTCACACCACACCCCAGTCTCGTTATGTAGAAAACACTGCCCCGTGTCTGCCCCTCCCTGCCTTCTTGTCCTTTCCCCCACCTCATATATATAGTTATTTAAAAACGGTTTAAAACACAAATATAATATAACCTCGTATTCAAAAGTTACCTCCAAATACAATATTTTAAATACAAGAGACCATGATATAGCTCCACTAAGGTTTTACACATAGTCAGCAGAACAATAGGCCTTTTGGTTTAAAAAGGACATTTTACAGACAAATGACCACCCCTTCCTCTCCTCCTCCGAGACTACATTCTCAAGGAAGCCTTCCCGTGCAAAGACTTGGCTGCGAGGTCAGCTCTCTCTCTCAGCACGCTGGCCTCCTCAGCGCTTCTGTGGGCCTGCACACTCTTTAACAAGAAGTGGCTGATGAAGAGCTTCAGACCTTCTCGCAACATGCCCAGCTTCGGGTTGTCAGATACTCTGGAAAGGAATCGTATAAACCTTATCAGGGACAAAACAGTCTCTCCTAGATCTCAGTTCTAGGAATCTCGAACAGGTTACTTTTAAAAGTAACCTAGTTTCTTTTAAAAACAGAATTCTCAGTTGAGAACGTAACACACTCTTATGTGTTAGAAGTCATATTAGTTTGCCATCAGGCAAGTCTCACGTTTCCCAAATCTAATGTGTAAGATACTAGCTTAAAATTAAAACTGAAAATGATTTTTTAAGCTACACATAAAGTACAACCACCTTGCTTTTATAAATCAACATAAGTGAAAATAATTTCTCTTCATCTCTTTCCCATATGTTTTATCAAAACAAGCTGTAAACATACCTTGCAAAAATTAAACCAAGGTCTTCAATTTCTGTTTCCATTAACAGCATATATAACACTTTCCGTAAAAAGTGGACTCGGGGTTTGTCCAATTCACTGAATTCAACTACCTAACAGAGTCAGGACGGAAAGAAAACTCAAGTTACACTGACTTAGCCAACTTTTTCAGTGATTTCTAAATACAGTTAATTAGAGTAAAGAATTACTCCCCCCTCCCTTTAAGTAAAGCTATTTCCAGTTTTATAACAGGAACAGCTGGTGGCAAGGACGTGGGGCCACGGGACCTCTTGCACACTGCCGGCAGGGGCACGCCACCACTGCTGAGAGCAAGTCGGCCGTGGAAGTAAAGTGTATGGGGTGTATACCTTATGACTCAGGAACTTAATTTCTAGAATTGAAACATATATTACCTCCATGCCTTACAGAAACTACTCCCTAATTAAAACTATAAATATATAGACACACGTACACACATATATACAGAATTTAGATCTAGGAGGAACTAATTCATACACGTATATATATATTCGCTAGAAAATATATATAAATGAAAGTATACCTACTCAGTGGAATACTATACAGCAGTAATAAAATCAGAGAATAGAATTACAGATACCAACATGGATAAATTTCAAACCCACGATGAATCAAAAAAAAAAGAACTGTGGAAGGACATTACGAGTATGGGAAGGTATAACATCACCCAGGAGAGGTTAAACACGTGCAGAACGAGATCCCGTGTTGCTGCAGACACACAGGCACAGGATACAAAAGTCTGCCTGGGAACAAGAGGGGCCTCCGAAGGGGGGAGGGCCGGGGCCCAGGGGCAGCTGGCTTCGAGGACATCATGTCTAGGTTCTCCATGCCTCTACTGTGTCTGAGGGACACACTGGGTCCCATTCCATTCTGAGTTCAAAACTCGAGTGAACCGAAGATTTACTCCAGCAATGAGAAGGCACGCACTCTCCATGTTTTAAATTATTCCCATTTTTGGAATGTGGTATAATATTCCAGTGCCCTCATGTTCAGTACAGCGGCCAAAATCCAACACCGCACCCCAGAGAGGCATCAGAGCAACTTGCATAAGTGCCCTGGAGAATGCATGCACAAACAGAAACAGGAAACCGTGGCTGCAGTCTGTCCTGCAGATCAGGGAGGAGAAGGCTCAGAAGTCCAGGCCCCGAACTCTCTGACCTTCAGGTTCTCTCATGGTCTGTGTTTTCAGGACACCCAGACCCCAGTGGTCCCACTGCCCAGGCCTTGCTGGCTGCCTCAAACCCCATTTCCTGTGTCCCTGCCAGACCCACATCAGGGCATCCGCATTCCACCACTGCTTTAAAATACCCGGCAGCACAGGGAGAAAGAGCCGAAGCGCCAGCACCACAGCTCTAAGGAGGCCGGCTCCTACGTCTCCCCATCTCCCTGCCAGCCTGTCAGCGGCCAGTGTGGGGTCTGTAATTAGGACCTGCACATGAACCCCAAGACCCCAAACAGGTTCACTTAGATGAGCAGAACAACTGACACTGTGCCTTACTTTACCAGGTAAATGTATCCTAATCTGGCTATTTTCTATGATGGCTATGATAATGAAAACATTCCTCAGGTAAGTCAGAATCCAAGGAAATGATTTTTTTAAGGTACCAAATGTAAGCAATTATACTATCATTTTCATTGCTTTTAATAATTTCATACATCATACAAACCTTTAAAATGGAAAGTGGAAGTGATTTTGTTTTCAACAAGTGGGCCACCAGATGAACCAAATTAGAGAAATTAGCAGCTGGCAAATTTTCTAAGTCCCGAAATTTGTCCCATACGCTGAATTGGAAAGTCATCTAATATAACAATTAAAAAGAAGGAAAAAAGTTAAAATGCAAAGAATAAATCACTAAGAATATAACCTAAAGGTACTCTACATATTCATTTACTCACAAATAAGTGAATCAAGACTTTTAGGGGCAACTACACTCTCTTTCCTATAGGCAGTGGTTTGAAATACCTTGACAATAATTTGCTGTTGTAGTTTCATCTCTCAAACCAGCAGAAACATTAGACGAGGATGATGCAGTATAAAACCAAGGAGGCACTGCACCGGTTAACCGGGCCATGAAACTCCCTCATCTGTGCTGGAAAGGTGACATGGAAGACATTCTGGACCCCAGTCACTCCAGTTGTGCCCACCTGCTCCTGTGAAGGTGGGCCTGCAGCAGGTGTGGACGGTGACTGACCCACTGCACACAGCTCTCTGACCAGGACGGAGTCCTCACTCTGGGCACTCATTTCACACGGGCTGAGCCCGACAGAATGTTTACAGAAAACATGGGTAACCAGGGCCTTCTAAGTTACCTGAAACCTCCTTTCATATTCACAAAACTTGCTAGCCAGGAATGCATAGAAAGGATTGTATGTTTTCTCTTGAAGGCAGCAATCCATGAGAACATGAACTATTTCTCTCTCCTGCTGATCCTTAAGTCCAAGCCTATAAAATAGAAATAGGAATGACTCAGAAATCTTCAGTTTGCCAAGTTTTAAAAGCTTTAAGGCAGAAATCTTTCAGAGGAACACATCCTGCCTGGCAGTTTGGCCAACACTGGGCAAAGCAGAGGAGGTAGGATAACAAGACAGGAGCTCCAGGCCCGGCCCTGTCTCCAACCTCTCCGGCCTCAGTGTTTCCAACAAAGTGGCAAAACCTGGGGGGACGTCCTGATCTGAGTCCTTTGTCAGCTATAAAAGGCTAAAACTGGCCCCGACTAAGAGGACACAGGACTCAGCCTCGAGCCTCGCAGTCAGGATCTCGCCATCACACTTATTTTCTCTTTTCCAAAACTCATGGTCTAATTTATCCACAGTAAAACCCATCCTCAGTGCACAGTGCTGAGTGTGGACAAGCGTTTGCAGTCCTGTAATACCTCCCCTATATTTCATTCTGAACTACAAACAAAATTAATTAATATGAAATTTGTTCAGAAGAACTTTGTAAAAGTATACAGTTACCTTTTAAATCTTGTCACAACTAATTACAGAAACTACACCAGGAAGTTTTTAATTCAGAAGTAATTACAAGGACTACTTTAATATGAAGATTTTAAGCAATTCATGACAACCAACAGTCACTGATAATTATCAGTTGGGCATCTAACACTTTTAATCACAATATATCACAGAATGTTCTAATCTACTAGTGGCCAATCGGTAGGAGCAAGAGTGCTGACCACAGGGACACCTGGATCCAGGGCGGGAGGGTCAGGGTGAGCCCAGCCGCTCCCCAGCAGCGCTGACCAATCCTCCAAAATGTACAAGTCACCTCCACTTATTTCTTCCACAACATCTAATTAAATGTAAGTCAAAACGGTCACACAAATGCTTACTTTAGAAGCTTTTCAAATGCGTCCAAAAAATCTTCACTCGTCATTATTGTACAAAATATGTTTCTCCTGACATCGGTGTTCATTCTCTGCTTTCGGGCGAGTTCTAATATCTTTGCGCTAACCTGAAAAGAGGGACGATTGAGGCACAGATCATATATACGTCTCAATGAAATTTGTTGCTTTGGTTTGGTGTAGTTACTGAAGCTTCTAAAAAATAACGTGTATAATTTTGTGGCTTGACCAATGTATAATTATAAATTATATGTAAATATATGTATGTAAATGCTAAATCTTTATTCTTGGGCAGCCCCACACAAAGAGAAGAAAATAGCAAGGGACAAAGCAAGCCACCAGTGGAGAAAGCCACTTGATTTGGAAGACTTCTCAGCAGTGGTGCGATCTGTCAGCCTAAGCCACAATGAAATATAATAAGAGGTAAGTGGCCACAGCCAGAAGAGCCAGAATGAGGAAGTGAGATGGGGGATCCTGGGACAGAACAAGGTATTAGGGAAAAATGAAGGAAATCTGAATAACATATGGACTTTAGTTAATAATAAATAAAACACAAAAAAGTGCACAGAATTTTGACAATCTGAAGCCTGAAGTTAATGGATCACAAGCCACATCTCCTGGAAAACAATGTTTCTGCGTCTCAAGAACTGGTATCTGCAACATGAGCGTTCTGATTTTCATACATTCCTCTCATTCTATTCAACTTCTAAGTCTTTTATGGTACATGTTTTGAGACTTTAAAAAAATCCTTTAAAAAGAAACAATGGAAATTGAATTAAATTATATCACAAAACAAGAGCAATCTCTATAAGGTCTTCAAATAAAGTCATGTCCGTACACCTTGACAGCCATCCAACGAATAATGAGGACGCTACTCCAGGGAGATGCCGTGGGGGACACGGATGACACGCCTGGTAGCAGTGAGCACGGGGTTTCATACCGTCCCTGCGAGCTGCTTCTGCGGGATCTTCTGCTGCCTGCTGTCAATCATCGGGGCTCCGCTCCACGCAGACCCCACAATCCACCAGCGCCCGGTCTGCTCAGCATTCAGGACGCCATCCCAGGAGACGCGGAGCTGAGTTTCCGTAGCTGAGCCAGCACTGCGAACCTGAGTGAAAGAAACGGAGCCGATGAAACGCTTCAGTTGGTTCACAGTCTGTACTGAGATCATCCCCGGGCTTTTCCTTTTTCTGATAATGGCATTTTCGGTGCTTGAATACTGTGATGAGTCACTGACAACTGGGACAGTTAACCTGCTGGGAATAACACCAAAGTTAGAGGTAAACTCCCAGTATCTGTGTTGGAGGTGTGTGGGTCTACCACTCCAAATACCACTGTCGTCGCAAAGTGTCACACGAGGGGAAGAGGCTCAGACGCCACAAGCAGAGCTCTGTTGGGCTGGCGGTAAGAACGTGACCAGGAGGAGCCTGGGATTTGCTGGGGTCAACGATTCTGGGTCTGACCAAAGACTGGGGCTGAAGGACCTGCCCTGACTGGGGAGGTCACTGGGTCTCAGCTATGGCCCTGAGTTAGGAACACCCGGGGAGTTAACTTCACTGGTCTGGGCGGGACACTTGCCCGGGCCCTCTTTCAAAGCAATGAGAAGATTCTATCACACAGCTGAGAAGAGCACCACAGGCTCAGTGTGGGGGACACTTAACTCACAGGGACTCCTCCCTACAGGGACCACTCAGAGGGTCTCCCACAGAAACATGAAGTTTCCTTTCGATATCTTGGAACTCTTATTAACCAACTTGGCTCCAACCACCTTCTAGATTTTCATGATGGGTTCATGTAGATGCGGAAGCTCAAAACAAGTTAGAAGTAAGAGTGATTTACCAAAGCTCTTTGTAATTTCCTCAGTTTCTCTACAGGCTCAGGATCATAGCCTGGAATTTTACGCATGTCATTGTTCTTCAGTGCCAACATCGTCTCTAGCATAAACCGAATCTTAGAAAAGAAAACAAGAAAAAAAACATCATTTCAAACTGTCTAAACAACTGACCCTTCAACTTGGGAAGAAATAAAGCAACTTTGTGCACATGGTCATCACTGCTGACGATAAATCAGAGATGGTCTTCAGGCAAATGGTCTCCACTAACTTGAACATCTTGCTCGGGGCCACAGGACATTTTCATATAAATCCACCACCTGACCTCACCTGGACCTTGAACACTACCTCCAGATCTTAGTTCTCTCTCCCATTTCCCACCACCGCTGACCCCTCCTTCCACAGCTGCCCTCCCATCACCGTCCAGCTATTGCCCTTCCTGTCCGATCACCTGTGGCTCTCCTGCCTCCCGGGGACCTGCTCTGAGTTGCCCCCTCCTCTCCACTTTATTTTCAACTTCTTCCCCACTCCTGGCCTTTTTAAACCTTTAAATTGGAAAGGTCATACTTAGAGAAAAGTTGCAAGAACAGTACAAAGAATTCCCATATACCCTTCTGAGATTTCCCTAAATGCTAACTTTTTATTGAGATATAATTCACATACCATAAAACTCACCCACTTAAATGTACGATTAATATATTCAGAGCTGCGCAACTATCACCATAATCCACTTTAGAACATTTTCATCAGCCCCAAAAGAAACTGCAAACCCATCCCCCCAACTCCTCCAGCCCTAGGCAACCACAAATCTACTTCCTGTCTCTGCCAACTTTTGTGTTTTAAACTTGACCTCTGAGCGTTCAACATGGTACCTCTCAACCCGCAGAACAGCAAACGAGGTAGGAACCACGATCAGCCCCCATTTTCTAGATGGGGGCAGGGAGGCTTGGAAGACTCAGGTCACGTTGCTGGCAAGCAGCAGAGCCAAGCGGGCACCTGGCCCCACACCACATGGCCTTCCTCAGTTAACACTGTTGAAATGGGTAAATGCTCAATAAATCGATTCCTAAATTCACAAAATAGATATCTGAGTTCTTAGTAAAGAAACAAGATTCATTCACACATTAAAGATAAAGCCATAAAATCAGATGATGCAGAAGATGACACGGATCATTAGGAAATGAAACGCAATATTTACCCCAATACTTATTTTTAAGTTCTGGTCAGTTTGTGAGCATTTAGGAAGCAGGTCAAGTGGCGCACTCATACCCTGGTCTGGTCCTGGAACATGCTGCCCGCCCCACTGGCCTTGGCCTGGGTCTCAGCAATCAGTTCCTTAAGTGACAAAGCATCATCTTTTCTCAACGAAAAGCCCACGTTTTTCAGCATTAACAGGATCAGTTCAATATCTTTTTCTGTGAAACTTCCAATAAGCTTTTTCAAAATGTCAAAGATGAGGAGAGACTGTACTACATGGAAGTTATACAAATGGGCAATGATGGTAAACAGGTTATCGCACTCTTTGCCTTCACTTCCGTTTTTATAGACGTCATCAAACTTCCTCACCACAGCTTCCAGGAAGTGAGCGCCGACCTGGACAGAGAAGACAGAAAAGATATCATTGCAAACATGTAAAAATCAAACGTTACCAAGTTCTTCTCAGAGACCCTTCTTCCTCTTTCAACAAACTTGAATGTACGTGGAATTAGTACTTTTTACATTAACACGTAAAATATACACATGATAGGATATAAACTCCAACCAGACGTAAACTTTAAAAATATAAGCCTGCGTGTACAGTGCTCTACATGTGGGAGGACACTAAGCAGTCAATGACACACAGAGCAATCTGCCACAGCACTCACACCTTCACTGTAAGCACACCCTCTTGTCTTCAAAATCAACAGGGTGGCATTTCTTGGCCAGCTGCCATTCTGGTTCCTTGGAAAAATAAAATTGTTAAAAATGTTAAGAAGGCATCTGTATCTCTAAAAATGTACTAGTATCTAACAAGACTCACTTCTCAAGCTCCAGCTGAGACTGGAGGGAGCAGACGGAAGCAGGAACACAGCAGTGGCGTGGAGTAATGTTGGCACTCCAGTCAAGAAATGATGACCTGAGTCAACGCAGCCATGCTGGACCCAGGAAGGAAGACTGGGCATGAGAGTGACCCAGCGACAGAACCAGCAGGTGTGACCAGTCACTGGATGTGAAAGATTAAACACTTGGGTAACAGGAGATGACAGACCTTCTAACTGGACCAGTAATCTCTGAGGAAGAGCAGGTTAGCGGGGGCTGGATAAAATCAGTTGAAGACTCACTAAGCTTGAACCGCAGCACGTGCAGGGAGCATGAGGATACTTGGAGAAGTATGAGGGGTAGCTAAGGTTGTGGGTAAAGATGAGAGCAACCAGACAGGTTACAGTGTAATGGGAAAGTACACACAGATCACTGCTAAACCACAAGAAATAAATGCTACAAGAAGCCAGGAAAGGTGCCAGATGGGCAGCAGGCAACCGCGACTGAATTCACGGAGGCCAGCTCTGACAGACTGGACGTCTTCTTCAGCTTCTAAAGACCTGAGACTCAATAAACAAATTTAACCAGTAAACTCCCAATTCAAGCCCTTTCACTAAAAATAAACCCGAGGACCTATTTGACCACTATATTTTATGTTCAAATATAACTTAAAAAAAATTAAAATTCTGCAGACATCAAGAAAATTCAGGCATAAAATATACTCAGGTATGCTTTCAATCACATGAACAGAATTATTTAATTATATCAAAATTTTAGATTCCATTTAATGTTTTTAAAATAAAATATAACAAAATAACATTTAAAAAGAAGACTAATATTCATTTTGTTCAAGTTATTTAAGCATATACATTAATTTTGACTTGGGGCTTTTAACACAAACCTACATAGACCTGATTTTTGATTTTTAAATGACTCAGAAGCAATTCAGTAATGACACCATGGTCTCTGTAACTCACTTTTCTCCTTCCGTGAATTCCCGTGAGGATGTTCTCCTCGTTATAGAACCGAAAGAAGTTTAATGGAACCAGCGTCCAGAGAGCTCATCATACGCTGGCACAAGTTTTAGGGGGTGTCATTAGCTCAAGTACCATGATGACTTCCCTGGACGACTCAACTCAGCTGTCTTTCATGCTATTAGTGAAGGTTTAAATGAGAGGTAATCTCATTTCAAGTCCAGTGAACTCCTGATATTGTGGGTGGTCATGGTCTACAGCTTTACTCTAACTCCACGAAATACTGCCTCTACTGAGACCATGCTGATCATGAAGTGTTCCAGCATGACCCAGGAGGACGGGGTGCACTAAGAGAGCCCTATAACAGCACTGGATCACGCCATCACGGGGCACTAGGAATAGCGTCAGGGATCCCATTACACTTTGACGAAGAGCAGGACCCAGCGTCGTATGTGAGAGTGAGTACAGCTCTTAGAGATAAAATACTTACTTCAGAAGAGCGATGCCCTAAATAGCCAGTGCAGCGGTAGCTGAGGAGAGTCCTGCCACCCGGAAGACTCGGGGCCTACGCCCCTCTCTTCTGTCATCACCTCCCCATGCCCAGGAGGACTAGAGTCTCCATCTTTCAAAACTCCCACAACGTGACTACTGCTAGATGAGGAAAACGTGGTTCAGAAGGTTCTCTACAAAGAGCAATGAAGCCTGTAGTGGCAGGAAAGGCCAGTGAAGAGAACGTGGGAGGAAGAGGAGAATTTCAACGTGAGAACATCCTTCCGTATCATGCAGAAGTTAATCATAACTAACCTTTAATGAGCACATTCAAGGGCCAGGCTCCTGGAGACACTCACTACACGTAAAACTCGCTAAACCGACTCGACAGAAGAGGACACGGAGGTAGAGGTCGCCAGGTGACGGCTGGTGAGCGGCAGAGCCGTGCTCTGGACACAGGCAGTGTCCTCCCCACATTACACACTGCTCTCACTGCAAAACCTCTAACTCGCAAAGGAGGATTCATTTTGGGAAATTTGTGCATTTTAAAGTAAGCTCCGGACAGGCCCAGTCTCTAAGACTCCAGATGATTTTAAGACTATGATTGAGAGCAAATACTAGAGACAGGAACTGAGTGTGCATGAGGAGCACTGTGGCAGACAGCGGGCCGACCTAGGAGTTGAAAACAAAGGCAAAGAGCACTCGGCACGGGAACTTGGGAACACGACGCAGCTCTTCAGGGCTTTGCTGCATTTGCACTGTGGGGTTAAATAAATATCTGCCCTACTGATCTTGCTGGGAGGCTGTAAGGACCCAACGTAACAAAAACAGCAAGTGTGCAGACTCACACCAGGACCAGCCCTTGAGCCACGCTTTGCTGCGGAGGCCTGTTCTTGGGAAGAGGGCTATCACAGGGCAAAGAAACTAAAAACCAATGTTAAAAGATATTGTACCACATAAAGATCCAAAGCGATCAACAGGTTCTTCTACGGAAGACAAATATCATCTGGGAAAAGTAAGCCTGGTGTGCATCATCACCCATCCATTCACCTGCCTCAGTGTAAACTCCTGTATCACACCAACTTCCCTCACAACCCAGGAATCAGCCACACGGAGGGAATGGAATACTGATGGGGAAGGTTATGATTCCACCGTACCGGGTGGCAGAAGAGGACCCCAGAAGTGCAGGTGACTTGACACTAACCCCATCAGGCAAGGACATCACCTACTGGGCACCAGGCACCGTGGAAGTGCCTTACAAACGTCATACATCGTCCAATTTAATCCTGACAAGGGCCTGACGAGGAAGGTGCTGCAGTCCCACTAACAGACGAGGACATGGGAAGGTCTGTGGCCTACCTGGCAGTGGCCCAGGCGGCTCCAAGCCCAGGCCCTGTCACATTCTGGTGGCCTTCTTACTTATGAAGGAACGACCTCCCACCCAATACGAATACTGCGGCAGTGAGACCACACAAAGCCCTGTATCCTGAACATCTGGAGTAAGTCAACGTTATAGTGGGGAATACAAAGAACATGAAGGCAGGTCCAAGGTGTCAGTCCAGAGAGAGATAAACTAATGAATAATAAAGACGTGCCAGAATGGACCCAACACAAAAGCAGAAGTTGACCAAAATCAGGTTATTTACGGAATGCCATTTAGAGTGATATGATGTAGACGAAGTAGTATCGACCTTATCAGGCCTATCACTAAAACAAGCATGATTTAGGGGCCGGCCCCATGGTGTAGTGGTTAACTTTGGCACACTCTGCTTTGGTGGCTCAGGTTCTCAGGTTAAGATCCTGGGCGTGGACCTAGACCACTCGTCAAGCCATGCTGTGGCAGCGACCCACATACAAAATACAGGAAGACTGGCACAGATGTTAGCTCAGGGCACATCTTCCTCACTGAAAAAAAAAACAAAAAACAAGCACCATTCAGACACATTAACAGCCTGGAGGAAAGGGAGGCCCACCTCGATCCCGACCGTGTGGTGAAGAATGCTGACCAGGAGGACATGCTCCATCACCAGCCTGCTGGGCACGGGTGTGCCTGGAGCACAGGCACTCATGAGGACGCCCGTCAGAGTGTCATTCATGTCCTTCCTGCTGTGGGCCATGTACAGCTCCTCCAGCTGTCCACTTATGGAGGCCACGTTCGGTTCACTCAACCTGCAGACAGTGGTAAAGACAGGGCGGCAAGGATGTCTCAAACTAAGAAGTATTTTTTAGGTCAATTTAAAAAAATGGAAAAGTTTTCAATACTACCAATACATCCTATTTTATGGACACATCTGACCTATGAACAACTCTTATCCTGCCCCCATAACCCAGTATATACCCTACATAACACATAATCATCTGGAACCTTGAAATAATGTAACCGTTGTCTTTCCAGACGAAATGTGGCCACAGAGCAGCACACACAGGACTCTCTTTAGGATCACTGCGACTGTAATGAGGATGTTCCACTGTACCCCGACCTGATGTCCCCAGGGAGAGGCAGGGAACCACCCTTAACACATCAGTATGTGCTGTTGGAAAAAATTCCAACTTTTCCATTTTTTTGCTGGCATAAAAACCTTTAGTTCCTAACACAGAGAAAAGGTTGCTTGGTTTACAGGGTGGGGAGAGAAGGATGTATATGTACATGGAAGATTCAGTGTGCTAACACTGAACACTAAAGCAACATGTTTGATAAAATTCCAGAATGCACCACAGAAACACTGTTTTAATTAAAGAGAAATATTAAAAAAAAAGGAATGGGGGGTGACCATAAAAGCATATCACAAGAGAGCCGTGTGTGCTGAGATAGTTCTGCCTTGAGTGTAGGGTAGGTACCCAAAGCATCCTCTGTGAGGCGCAGCATAGAGCTGCACACGTACAAACGTGAGTAATGAGCAATGGGGATAGACCATGTTCCTGACCGAGAGCGTCACCCTCAGGCCATGAACTCCCCTCTGGAGGGAGGAGGACCGGTCTTGCTACCACCGTTCCTGGGCCTGACCACAACTCTGCCCCATTCCTGGGACTTCTCAGAATAACCACATGTGCGCCTGCGTTGCTTTCAAACTCAAAGGATTCAAAGTACCAAACAGAAAAGGCGGGCTTTTCAAGGTCGGTCTGGCTGCATCAAGACAGGAACAGAAAGCAGCCAACCAACAGCTGCACTCCCAGGCCCCCATCACTTACGGTTTACTTTCTGGGGTAGTTTTTATAGTTTTAGAAAAGACACAATCTCTCTAAGTGACACAATGTAACAACGCTGCCAGGTCACCTGTTAATGAGACCTTTGACGTGTTTCTTTAGCCTTTCTAGTTCTTCCTTTTTCTGGGCATCCACTGTCTCCTCTGCTCGCCTCATATGAGGCGGGATGTACTTTTCACCATTTTCACAAAGATTCTGCTTGAAAGGACAGAAATAAATTACGAGAAATTTACACTGAACAAATCCCCCTTTTTCCCTTGCCATAGTCACATTTAGATATTAAATTCCCAAGAACTGGTAGAAGCTGTAGCTACTGACCACTGCTGCTGATTAAACACCAGATATTCACTGAGTGCCTGGTATGTCCTGGATGAGTACTCCACCCACCAGTCTGCTGGATGTCATCATTTACGTTAATGTCAATACATTTCATCATCGTGTTTTTCCCTCTGTAGTTCTTCAAATCTGGCCGTGCCCTCTCGCATCTGCCCAACACAGCCCTATTACTGTACGCTTGTGCCCAGGCTTAATTTATGGCAGGCAGGGCAGTACACGACCATCACCAGTTTCAGAGGGAAAATGTTCTAAAATAATTTCAAACTTGTTCAAAACTAATATCTAAACTTACACGATAAAGTCAAAATCAATTCACTGCTCAGTATTCCCTAGATTATCAACTGGGAGGGTTACAAATCATTATCATTGACCCTGGGCACCTAAGTGACAAGCCTTTAGGAGACAAACATTTGTAAGGTATGATCCCTGTTTTAGAGTTTAAACTCAGTTGGAGAAAGCACATTAATGTAACATAAAAACTGTTACCCTTGAGACACCCATTAGTTCAGACTATATGTCCATTACACCTCAACAGACTGTGAAAGAAAACTTAAGAGTAGTTCAAAGATAAAGTCCTAGGAGAGGAACCGACAGTACTTAGGGATGGCTCACAAAGTGCCAGGTGCTAAGGCACCAGGGACAGAAATGAAGACAGTTCATATATGTAAGATGGGGAGGATCCCAGAGACGTTTGACATTAACAGATGAACACAAACAGAGAGAAAAGGAGGAAGGGCCTTGTAGACAGAAAGAATAACATATTAAGAGGCAGAATGCTGAAATAGTGAGGTGTGGAAAAGGAAACGCAGGCAATTCTATGTGGCTGCCTTCAAGGTGCATACTGACAGGAAGCTGTTTTAACAGGCAAGGGGCCAGCCGGGAAGGCCTGGACTGCTACATCATGGATTCTGAACTTGTCCTTAATGTGAGACCTCATCCAAGGTCAGCTTTGTGTTTTAGAAGATTCACTCCAGAGCCGCTGGACAGGAAAAGGACGAGGAGAGGGCAGAGGCGAGTCAGGAGTACAGCTGTCCTCAGGACACACCAGAGGCCGGAACAAAGCAAGTGCGGAGGGGAGTCAAAGTCAGGTTTGGAGACTGAGGCAGAAAACACCAAATGAAGGAGATAGTCCCCTTAGGACAACCGCTGGAAACGGCCATTAAATCCCTGGGATAAAAAGGTCTCTAGAAATGTTTTCTCCCTTAACTCTTTATCAAGAAATTTAAAACCATAAAAGTAGACATAATACAATAACCCAATTTACCCACTCTCAGCTCAAACAATCATCAATACCACAGCTGTGTCACCGCTGTCCCACGCTCTGCCCCCACCCGTTATCTTGAGAGACATCCCAGAAAACTTAGATTGTTCACAGGATACCTGATCTGTTGTGTCAACATGCTCTGAGGAATTTTCTCTCCTTTCTTCATCTTCCGCAAAATGGACTCTCCTTTTCCCCTTTTTCTCCTTGGCTCTCCCTTCCACTTCTTTGGCTTTTTTTCGCTTTTCCTCTTCTACGTCCTCGTCCTCGCTCTGCACTCCCGACTCTGCGTCCTGCTCCTCCTCTTCCTCTACCAAGTCGTCCTCCTCCTCCTCCCCTCCGGCCTCGGGGTCACTCTCGTCCTCACTTTCGGGGAGAGTCTGTCCGGCATCCTCCTCCTCCTCACTACTGCTCTCATACAGGCCACCATGTTTCCCAGACTCCAGGGCTCCCAGAATGTAGTCGAGCCCATCGCGGGCAAAGCTCAGCGGCACGCAGCTCGCGTCGCCCCTCCGCCTGCGCTTGTTCAGGCCGAGGCAGCGCTCCAGCTTCCGGATCTCCCGGTCCTCCTCCTCGTTGGCCGCCAGCAGCGCTCGTTTCCGGGCGGCGGCGGCGGCGGCGGGCCCGGTCCTCCCGGGCGGACCCTTGACCTGGGC